TGGTGGAATGGGCTAGTAAACATAACTACAATGGAAGGAGGTAGGTACTATAACAGAGAGAATGCTGTGGGAACACGAGAGAGGAGGTTGGGGCCAAGCGAGGTGACATCTGCTTTGGAGTAGGCATTGGCCTGCTTAGGAGAGGAGAGGGTTTTAGTTAAAAAGAGTGTTGTCATTCAAGAACCACAGATGTTCAGTATGGCTAGAGAATGGGAGCCAGGGGTGTATTGGGGGAGTCCGTTGGAGCTGTTCACATGCTGAGAAGTCAGCACTTCATCCTGGGGGCCAGAAATGGCAAATGGGTAGCACCAATGCCATCACTTCCCCGTGACAGCTACCTCAGACTGCACTAATCTATCAGTAATTTTTCCTCTTGACTTGGTCCTCAAATTTTTCCCATGATCTAATCACCCGCTAAAGGCCCCCGTCTCTTAATACAATCGCACTGGGTATTAGGTTCCAACATAGAATTTGGGGCCGGGGGACACCAACACTCATACCATAGCAGAGGGTTTTAAGCAGGGGGCGATGTGATCCTGTCTTTTGGGAAGATCACAGTGCTGACATCATGAGGCAATTGCAGTGGTGGTACAGCAAGAAAAGCTGGGAGGAAAGAGACGGTGGGTAGAACACACAGATTTGGGGCATAATCAGATTCGAACGATGAGGGGGAAGGGGGAGCTGACTTCAGTTTGGAGTGCGTGGTTGCATCTCAGCCTGGTGGACTTGCATGTGTTTGGGAGTTGGGGAGGTAGGTGCATGACGCTGTCCCCTGGGAGAGGGAACCAGGGATGAAGCAACCGAACAAGTGTGTCCACGAAGAGGGAAGAGATCTGGGGAGTCTGGGGCCCTAAGAGCTGTCATTGTCCATCTTCACTATCTGTACCTGTTCTGAAATTAGCGGGGTAAGATAACACATACCCTGTGTCTCATGAGTGGTGTGCAGATGCCATAAGGAAAACTGGAGAGTTAACCTTCCTTCTGCCATGCCAGCCTGTTCAAGCCAGAGACACCCTGCCTTCCCCGTCCAAGAGGCAAGATGGTCCCTGGCCTCTGGGCAGGACTAGACCCAGAGACCACCCGTAACCAGTGCAAATGAACTGCTGCATCTACCTTGCTCCTACTGTCAGACTCCCTAGCATCGGGTCTTTGGGCTGGGCTGGCTCAACCCTGCTGCTGCTCTCCCTCCCCCAGGCCCCAGTACATGCACAGACACCATCCCATGGAAATTGTTAGGTAACAGGAGCTGTTAAGAACAACCACTCCTTGCCCAGTCAGCTGCCCACCGGCTGTCCATGCCTCCTGCAAGAGGTGATGTCATGCAACTGGGGACCCAGCCCCTCATTCCTGACAGCCCAGAGAGCCAGCTGAGCCCCAGGCCTTCCCCTCCCACCTCCCCAGCTTAGGAGCAGTGGCAGTACCGAGGGAGGAGCCCCCAGCGAACTGTTCATCCCTGCCAGTTCTGGGCCCTGAAATAACTATGCCGGAGCTCTGGGACTTGAGTCAGGCTCCAGAGGAGCCTGAGCTGCTACACTCTAGACTCAAGCGCCCTGACTTCCTGATGGTACGCTAGAGCCGGGGCAGGCCAGTTGGGGCAAGATTCAGCTCTCCTCACTTCCTCCATGGGAGGCTGCTCTTAGGTATCTGGCAAGGGCTTACCCAAGGGGTGTTGCCTACGCCTTGTCTGTCAGTTGGGCCCCTGCTGTTTAAGCCCCCAGCCCAGGCCAAGCCCCATCCTGAGTGCCAGGAGTCAGGGCAGCTGCAGCAAAAGAAGCAAACGGGAGCTCATTCTCAGAGAGACTTGCTTGGGAACAAGGTACAGATTGAGTGCAGATGCTGAGGAGCCAGAACGATGGGTTGAGCAGGGAGGTTTCCTGGAGGGGGAGGTGTCCTGGATTGAAGTCGCAGGCAGCGTGCAGAATGTCTCCCCCACTCCCAAGCCTTAAAGGGTTGCAGGAGATAGGATGAGAAGAACAGATGCTCGAGAGACTCAGGCTTAGGGGGAAGTTGCGGAGAGTTGGAGAAGGCAAAGCTTTGGGGGTCTTGGGTATGCCGCCTGGCGTGTGAAGGTTACTGCACCTGGAAGACCCTCCAGCTGTCTGCCTTCTCCCTGCTGAATTTCACCTGCGGCGGCAGCAGCGGCTTCAATCCAAAAAACAACTTCTTAACTGTGACAGGTGTGAGATTCCAGAACTCGGTGACCAAGGTGGAGTTTGGTGTCTCAGTTGAACACAGATCCTCACAGGAGGGAGAGGAACCCTGAGGGATCCATAAACAGGGCTGAGACTCCAGGTGGAGTCTGGTACCAGCCAGCCTTTCCGTCTGGTTTGGAGATTTTCCACTGAGAGACTCATGGCCACCAGAGGGCATTGCCACTCCATAGTGTGGCATCCTTGGGCTCCCTGTCCCCTGCTTGGAGAAGTTGCGGAGATTGGGAGGAGGAAGCAGGCAGGAATCTGAGCTCTCAGGGAGCTTCCAGCAGCCAAATTAAATGGTGTCTGGAGTCAGGAGACCTGGGTTCTAGTGGGTCCTCATGCCTGTTCTGCCACCATCTTTCCCTCCTTGGCTTTGGTTTCCTCTGTTAAATGAGGGCTTGGACCACACAGTATCCTTTCAAGACCATAAGGCCCTTTATAGCTCTGAAATCCCAGGATTTGAGGAAATCATGGAAAGGGCTTGACAGATAGTGCATTTCCTGGGCCCACCTGTACTCTGGGGTTCTCTAGGGCTCCAGTCCTCCAGCGGTGGCCTCTCCCATGGCGGCAGGGAGGCAGACTGGCCTGCATAAACTGAGGGGCAGTCTCCACCTCCACGTCAACCTGAAGGAGGAAGGGCTCAACAGGGCTGTGAGACACAGGTGCTCTGCCCCACACCTGTGGAGTCCACTTCTCCAGGCTTCAGGCAAGGAGGTGTCCTTTAGGTAACCCTCTGGGATAGGGGATGTGGTTACCTCGTGACACAAGAGGCTGTGCAAGACGCCCTTTTGATGGGTCCTTTCTGGCATAAGCTCTGGAATGAATAGAATAGAAACCATTGCCTCTCCTGCCTTTGCGCCTCCCATCCCCACCCCCACCACAGATGCTGTCTGTCAGGAGCAGGCAACAGACGGTCCAGGGGTCCATCTGTGCTAATGCTTCACAATGGAGTCCCATGTTTCCCCACTGACACCCCCTCGCCCCTTAGCTGATGGCCACTTGGTGGTGCCGGGTTGGGGGAGGGGGAGGAGGGAGAGGAAGGCACTGAGGAAGCCGGCTCTGAGCTCCCCGCAGTCCCCAGCCCCCCTACCCCCATCCAGCACGCAGGCTGCCATCTGGATTTGTGCGATCACTGAGGGGCTGAAAAGCACCCTTTCCCACCCACACCTCCTGTAGGGGCTGGGGGCCCAGAAGGCTGGGAGTGGGGAAGACACAGAGTCAGGGAGACAAGACAAGGAGGCGAGGGGATGGAGATGGACCTGTGAACTGAGATAGGTGGGAGACAGAAAGCCGTCCCTGGCCTCCTCGGGTGGATGTGGCCACTTGCCCCTCAGTGCTCCTCATGCCATGTGTCTAACACAGCACATGTACAAAGTACCCTTCCCTACCAGACCAAGAGCCTCTGTGACGCCAGAATCTCGCCAGTACCCGGCACACAGCAGGGCTTAAGTGTTGGATGAATGAAGAACTGAAGGCTGCCTGGGTTTGGATCAGCTCTGCCACTGAGTGACTTAGTGCCATGTGACTTAGTACCCTCTCTGGGCCTCCATTGTCCCATCTGTCAGGGATGATGATGGTACTTATTTCACACTGTTGTTATGAAGACCAAGTGAGTTAATACACGTATGTAAAAGCACACCCAGAACAAACAGCGTGCACAGCACACGGTAAATGCTCGATAAATGCTAACTATAAAGGTGTAACACAGATTTGGAAGGACCGGAGGAGGGGACAGAAAGGGACAGTGCATCCCTGGCCTCTGCTTAGTGGCTGATGTCAGGACACAGAGTCCCCAGCTTGTGGTGCTGATGTCCTGTGGTGGCTAGCTGCTCTTTAGACACCAGACGCCGCCTTCCACTTCCTCCTCTCACTTCTTATTCGGGCACCGCTGACGACAGAGACTCAGCTGGGCCATCCCCGCCTGCCTCTCCCACAGGCTGGCAGTCATGGTAACAAACATAATGGGGGGATGGTCCCTAAGACAGGGTCAGACAATGGCTGAGGATCGCCCCCCCAACCCTGAGCACCCACTCAGCTTGGGCTCATCCCCAACCCCAGGAATCGACTCCATGGCAAGGCGCTGCCCGCGGGGAGAGGGGGCTCTGAGCCCAGCGTCAGGAGTGGAGGAAAGGGGTATAGCAGGGACCATTCCAGACCCCCGGAGGGGACAGGCCAGAATTAAGCCTACTGGTTTTAGGGTTTCCACCTCTTCTCTTTCCCCTAGACGTGGGAAGGGGAGGCGGCTTCCTTCAGCTCTTCCGGGGCAGCTGTGCAAAGGGGAAATCCTGGGCCCTCTCACTCCCTGGGGGCTTCTGCGCAGTCAGTTCAGGGGCGTCTCCTCCCTCCTCCTTCAGGGACCTCACCCCTCCCGCCCCACAGGCCCTCTGCCTCTCTCCCCTGGCCTAAAGTCTCCTGCAGCCCCTTGGATCTTCTTGAATCTTCCCCTGGAACCCCCAAGCTTCATTACAATGACCCCTTACTGTGTCCCTCTGCCCCATGAATAGACGATGCGCAACGCCCCTTCGTAGAGCCCCTCCAGGCAATGCCCCTTCACAGACCCCCTCCAGGTATCGCGTAGACCCCTGGCTCGCCCCGGGATGTCTTCTCCCTCCTCCCCTCCGCGGCTAGGTTTCCCCCATTGAGTGTCCCCTGCCTGGCCAGCCGTCGAGCGCTGTGGGCGGGGCTCCGGGGCAGCTGCCCCCCGAGGGGCGGGGCCTGCCTCGCCTGGGGGCGAGGCCACCGGAGGCCGCGCCCGGCGGGGTTCCTGGAGCCTATAAAGCGAGGCGACCCGCTGCCCGCCCGGCTGGCATCCCCAAGCCTCCGCCAGTCCCGCCGAGAGGAGCCAGCGCCGCCACCGAGGGGCGCCCGGCGCCGGAGCCATGACTCTCCGCCGACTCAGGAAGCTGCAGCAGAAAGAAGAGGCGGCGGCAGCCCCGGACCCCGCCACCCGGGCTCCCGACTCGGAAGTCGCTCCCGCCGCTCCCGCCCCGACTCCGGCCTCGGGCCCCCCTGCTGCAGCCGCCACCCCTGGGCCCCCCGGGGACGAGCTGTATGCTGCGCTGGAGGAGTATCACCCTGCGGAGCTGTATCGCGCGCTCGCCGTGTCCGGGGGCACCCTGCCCCGCCGAAAGGTGCGTCCCCCAACCCCACCCTCAGCTCCCGTGACCCCCAGCGTCCCTTCCTCTGGACCTGCTGAACCCCACCACATCCCCCATCAGTGCCTGCTCACCTCACAGTATTATCTCCTCGGGGTCCACTGAGTCCCCCACCTTGTTCCCCAGCCCACCCACAGGCCCCCATAGACTCCCCTCGGCCCCCTCCTCAAAAGGTGCAAGGCCCCCGCCCGCGCCCCCGCTGCTCTGAAGGCTGTGGCCCTCGCCTCCGGGCCGCCCCTAATCCGGAGGCTCTCCACTCTGCTCCCCACACGCCGCCGCCCCGTCTGGCTCCCTCTCTCCTTCCTGGACTCTTCCCCAGCACCCTCTTTCCCCTGCTCGCTCCATCTGGCTTTCTGCTCCGTGCCGCGCCTCCCGTGTCCAGGTGTGTCGAAGTCCCCAGGACCCCCTCGCCCGGGCCTCTCCGGTTGGAGCCAGGAGGGCTAGGGAGGCGGTGCCGCCGCTCGCCCCAGACTAGTTGAGGGTCCCAGAGCCCTGGATGGGAGAGGGGGGCCTGCGGTCGCGCCGCGTGCGTTCTCACGCCGAGGGGTGCGTGGGGTGCCGCGGACTCAGGAGAGCACACCCTTCGAGGGGACACCCGGATTCCTGGGCTCGGGGCCGGCCGCCTTGTCCCGCGTCTGACGTGCGGGGTGCGAGGGCCAGAGCTCCCTGGACCTCAGCCGGAACCGGACGCGGTGGGAGGGGTCGCAGGGCGCCCCCGGGGCAGGAAGGATGCTGGCCGCTCCCACCCCAAGTCTCCCCCTCCGCCAGCCGGGCTCTTCCTCTGGCCCGAGGGGACCTGAGCGCTCAGAAGCGACTTGAAACCCAGGTTAAGGAGAGGGGCCTGGTGGCCTTTCCCCACTCAGACCCCTCCTCCTACCCTGGCCCCGGCTCCCCCCCACACAATGAACAGCTTGTTGAGAATTTGCATTTTATGAAAATCGGGTTGAAAGACAAAGGGGTCTCTCTGTGCTGCCCAGTCCTTCCTCCTTGGCCCATTTGGGTACTGTCCCCTCCCCTGAGGCCAATCTTTGGTTCTGGAGAAAGAGGACTCCCTTCTTTTCCTTGCCTTGAGGCAGCTTGGGGGGGGAGTTAACAAGGGCACAGACCTGGAAAGCCCTGGGCTGTTTGGCTGCTCTGGGACTGGGCTTCCTCCAAGGACCAAAAATTTAGAAAGGGAAAGACATTAGTTTATCAAGGGCCCTGAAAAGACAGGAACCTTTCAGCTCTGTCGCTTCTCCCCCAAAAAAGAACTCCCAATCTCTCTCCTTAAGTATAGTGAGACTTACTGTCAAGTTTGATATCTAAGAAATTTTGTGTCCCAGAAAACAACAAAATATATGGTAATATTGAGAGACCGAGGTGTAGCTGTGCATAGCTGGTCATAGCTAGTCACCTGCAGCTGGGATCCATAGCTGGTCCCTGAACAGCCTGTACTTTAGGAGACATGGCACCTCTGTCTCCTTCTCTTACACGTGCTGGCCGCGATTGCCAGTCCCCTGACCCCAGCTCTCCCAAGCCACACTGTCTCTGGCTGAGAAATTAGGTGGAGAGACCCGACTGTCAGGGGGAAATGGAATATCCCCTGGAATACCTTGATAGGTGATCCCAGGGGTTTGGATGCCTGCCCTTCTTTGAATCCCACTGGGGAAGAGCCCCCACCTCAGCTTTCAGAGTCTGGAAGGCCTGAGCCCCTACAGGCATGGGCCTAGGGGGTGGAGACCATTCTAGAGTAATGACCCCCACCCCTACCCCTGCCAGTGTGGAAACCAGCAGGAGGCTTAGAGTTCCATGCGTCTGGAACCCAAGAGGATGATTGTGACCCTGCAGTCCCAGGTATGGGAGTATATCCTGGGGAGAAAGCTAAGGAGTGAGGCCAATAGTAGCAATCAGCACTAAAGCAGGTGTGGCATTGGGAAGGGACAGACAGGCAACAGAAGTGTGGTGTTGTGTCCAGACCTGGAGCCCAGGTGAGGGACCTCCTAGAGTAGGGCTCTCAGCATCCGCTCAAGGACAGTCCCCCTCTTACCTGCTCTTTCCTGACTGTCTTCCCACCCAGGGCTCAGGATTTCGCTGGAAGAATCTCAACCAGAGTCCTGAGCAGCAGCGGTGAGTCACCTCCACCCAGCTCCTGCCACGGTCCAAAAGGGTGCAGTGCTGGGGGTGGGGGGTGGGCACACAGCATCTCAACCCTACTGGCTGTGGTGAGAGTCATTCTCCCACCCTCTAAGCAGGGCTCCCCCGCTGGGAGAGGAGGGCAGGTGGGGGTGTGGGCTGTATGAAGGGGTGGCAGAATAAGGAGGTGGGGACTTTTGAGTCATTAGATGCTCCTCAGCTCACCCCCAGCCTCTGCCAGTTACCCTTCCCTGGGGAGATCTGGATCATGAGAGCTGGGAGGTGGGGGAAGCAGGCGAAGTTTGTGGGGATGTCCTAACCAGGCCTCCTAGACTCCCCTGAGCCCTCCCAGCCCCAGGAAACCCCAGGGCCCTAGTCCCTCTCCGCGCTATGTCCAGCTGCTTGGATCTGGCTACCTGCCTCCAGAGTCTCAGTCCTGCTCTGGCCCCACCCTGTGGCAGCCCTCTTAGGAGGGATTCAAGATGTGGGCAGAAGTAGGTGCTGACCCCAGGACCTGGGACCCCACAGCTTCCCTTCTCTGCCCATATCTACCCCTGATTTAGGCTTGACTTCCTCTCAAATGGATCAGCAAACTATGCCAGCTGGCCAGATTGGCCTGTTTGGCCCTTGAGCTAATAATCATTTTTATATTTTTAAAAGGGTTGCAAAAAATAAAAGCAAAGAGCAGTATGTGACAGCGGCCGTATGGGGCCCACAAAGAAAGCCTAAAATATTTACCATCTGGCCCTTTGCTGACCCTTCCAGAATACCAGAGAACACTGGGGTAGACATGGAACTCCCAGTCACCCTGCTCCCTGCCCCAAAACGTGCAGAGGGGGAAAGGCCTGTGGTTCAAAGCATTCAAAGTGAGAGTAGCTCGGGTTGGAGCAGGGAGGTGTTGCTCAGCATTTGGGGGAATATCTCGGTCAGGCTGGGAGCTGAGGGGCCTAGGCTCCAGGGCCTGTCTTAGGCTGTGAAACTTGAAGGGGCCTTTGGAGGCTGCTTTCACTCTGCCTCTGGCTGGGCGGGAAGGAAGGGGGTGGGGGTGGGCAGAGGAAACTCTGGGCTCCCCCAGCAGGCGAGCATCTGGAGTGGCTCCAGACCATTGTGTCCAGTGGGCAGGCCTGCAGTGCGGGAAGGGGCGGCCTGGAGCCTCCCCTCCCCCAGCCCCACATCTGGTGGGCTGGCCCCACCGCAGCTGGGAGGAGCAGCTGTGGTCTGGCTGAGCCTCGTGACTGGCCTCTGGGGGAGGGGCCAGTCCTCTCTCCAGTGCTGTAGAGCAGAGGTGGCTCCCAGCTGGGGCTGAACTTGGGGCCTCAGCTAGTCTTACTAGCTGGCACTAGTGCACTAGTGGCACTCTGGGGACCAGGCATTCCCAGTGCCACCCTCCCTGCAGCAGAGGCTAGACTGATTCTGTGCAGCTCCACCAGGCCAATTTCAGTTGGGTATGGGAAGGACATAATCTATGATGACAGTGAGTTGTCACTGGAAACCGTGAGTCCTGCTGGAACGTTCTAGACCAGACCCAGCCTCTGGGGAGGTCCAAGACATGAGACCGACATCATCCTTTCAATCCTGATAGTCTTGACCCTGTGTCTCCTGTAGGAAAGTGCTGACTTTGGAGAAGGAGGATTATCAGACCTTCGGCTTTGAGATCCAGGTGCGAGAAGCTGCGTGCTGAGGGATGAGGGGTTGGAAGGCCGGTGTGAGGGATGGATAGACCCACGCTGCCCCACCTGAGGGTGCCCTTGTCTGTTACAGACTTACGGCCTTCACCACCGGGAGGAGCAGCGCGTGGAGATGGTGACCTTTGTCTGCCGAGTTCATGAGTCCAGCCCTGCCCAGCTGGCAGGGCTTACACCAGGTGGGGCCCGGGCCTAGGACACAGGGCTTTGGGAAGGGACTATGACCTTACTCCCAAGCAGAAGGGTGAGAAATCCCTCCTGAAATCAATCCCCTTCCTCCTCTTACTTTGAGAAGGCCAGAAAGAAGAATGGATAGAAGCCAGGCTTTAGATCCAGTAAATTTGCCATTTTCCATGTGATCCTACATTGTCCCATCTGCAAAATGGGGGTAATAATATGTTCCCCCCGTCCCCCCCTCACAATGAGGGGATTCCCTGGGCACAGCGCCAAGGCCTGGTGAACAGTGGATGTTGCTGCTGCTGCTGTTTCGCTCCCTCCTGGCAATCTGGCAATCCAGCCAGCGCAGGAGCTGGGGAAGAAGCCCCCACATTCCATTAGATCTGCTTGACATTGGGGGTCGGGTCCTATTCAGCCCCAACCTGGCCCAACTCTGGGGAACCTATGTTACTTCCTCGAACAAGGAAATGATGCCTCAATAGGAGACCCCCGGGATCAAGCAAATCTAGAGTCTCCAGGTTCCAGGAAGGGGCAGCCTGAGGCTGCATGAATCACTGCCCTCCCCCCAATTCTAGCACCATTTTTGCCCCTAAGCCCTTACACCTCCTTGTCCACTTACCAGAAGCTTTTGGTAGCTGTCTTGGTTCATTTTCTGTTGCTATGACAGAATACCTGAGACTGGGTAATTGATAAAGGAAAGAAGTTTATTTAGTTCATGGCTCTGGAGGCTGGGCAGTTCGAGATTGGACAGCTATATCTGGCAAGGGGCTCATGCTATGTTATAACATGGTGGATGGCATCTCGTGGAGGAAGCACATACAAGAATGGAGAGTAGGCACATGCAAAAGAGACAATACACAAGCGGCAAGCTCACTTTATATTAATAACAATCTGCTGTTAAGGTAACTAATGGCTCTGCCAGAGCAAGAACTCACCCCAGCAAACAGCAGTAATCATGAGGGCAGATGCCTCATGACCCAAATGTCTCTCAAAGGTCCTACCATCTCTCAACACGGTTACGCTGGGGATGAAGCCTTGGCCTGAGTTTTGGTGGGGACAAATCACATTCAAACCATAGCAGTAGCCAAGTGGTATATTGCAACTTTGCGAAGTAGTTTTGCACTCTCCCCACTATCATCCCTGAGGTAGCCACAGCAGGGATCCATACCCCCTTTCACCAATGGGAAAGGGTCCTCCGAGACAGTGGTATGCCTTGCCTGAGGCCTGGAGGCTCTACGGTGGCACAGGGTATCAGAAACCGAGGCCTCATGCCTGGGGCCAGGATTCCCAGCTGGGTGCTGCTCTTGCCCCCTTCCTGTCTCTACTGGGTCTCATGGCAGGCATGGGCTGGACAGAAATAACCAATGGGGACAGCATAGGGGCCCGGGAGTGCTCAGCCTTTAAGGACAGCTTCCTGAGGGTGTGGTTAGGGTGTGGGTGTATGAGGGCCCAGCCCCTCTGAGGTCCCCAGACCCTCTGCTGGGGTGCTGGGCCAGAACAAGTTGGTAGTCACTAGAGGCAGGGAAGAGTAGCTGTGGTTCTTAGTGTGTAATTTGAATGCGGTGAAAGAGATGTCAGAGGAGGTCTCCCCAAAACTGTGAGGAGTCGGGGAAGGGAGTTCAGGAGTATTCCTGGGGCTTGCTACTCTTCCCTTTCCGGCCAAGGTAGAGGGCTGGAATTCTTCCATCATGCCCCGTGGAGCAGATGCTGAATCCCTCTCTGCCTGGCAGGGGACACCATTGCCAGCGTCAATGGCCTGAATGTGGAAGGCATCCGACATCGAGAGATTGTTGACATCATTAAGGCATCTGGCAATGTTCTCAGGTATGTCTATCTAGGTGCTGTGGGGCCTGAGGGTTCTTGGGCTCAGCCTCTTGGTTTCCTCAGCCTGGGGGCTCACTCAACCTTTGATCCCCCAACCTCAGACTGGAAACTCTGTATGGGACATCAATCCGGAAGGCGGAACTGGAGGCGCGCCTGCAGTACCTGAAGGTAGGGGAGCCCAGTGATGTCCAGCCTCCTCTCTTCTTCCCAAGCCCCTGCCCTTCAGCTCCTACTCCTTTGTAGGGGATCATTTATGTCTGAACCTCCTTTAACCTTGAGTTTCTTCTGTCTGTTCCCTGATCCCTCACTCTGTACGCACATCCTGCTAGTTTCCTGGTAGCTCCTGACAGTGGGGTGGGGTCTCTTGCAGCAAACCCTATATGAGAAGTGGGGAGAATACAGGTCCTTAATGGTGCAGGAGCAGCGGCTGGTGCACGGTGAGTAGACTGGGGGGTGAAAGGCCACTTGTTCCCCTACCGACACCCCCTCCTGTGCTTCCGCCTCAGAACTAGTGGGTTATTCCCCTCTCCAAAGTGAAGAAAGTTTTGTTGAGCTACTACTTTGGGTACAATACTGCCCTGGGCTGCTACACACACGTTATTTTCACAATAGCTCTCTGAAGGTAAGTACTAGATAGTATCCTCCCCATTTTACAGACGGGAACACCAAGGCTCAAGGAGCTTGTTTCAATCTTTTCCAAGGCCCTGGTGTCTTAAGTGGTCCTCCTAAGGCGCTGAGTTATGATTCCTGTTTTACAGACCAGGGGAGTGGGGCTCAGGTTTGTGACTTGCCAGGGCCACACAGATGGTCGATAGGAAGGAACTAAGATCCCGAGCTCATGCCCTCTGACCCTTTGCCGAGGACACATCCGGCCCCAGGCCTGAACAGCCCTCCCTGTGCTTTTCTGCCTCGGCAGGCCTCGTGGTGAAGGACCCGAGCATCTACGACACGTTGGAGTCGGTGCGCTCCTGCCTCTATGGTGCGGGCCTGCTCCCCGGCTCGCTGCCCTTCGGGCCTCTGCTCGCTGTGCCCGGGGGCTCCCGCGGCGGCGCACGGCGGGCTGGGAGCGACACCGACGAAGCCGTCTACCACACGTGCTTCTTCGGGGACTCCGAGCCACCGGCGCTGCCACCCCCACCTCCGCCCGCCCGCGCCCTGGGGGGCCCCGCCGAGGCCCCGGACCCCGGATCGTGCCCCGGGCCGCGGGCCGCGCTGAGCCGCAGCGCCAGTGTGCGCTGCGCGGGCCCCGGGGGTGGCGGGGGCGCGCTCTGGACTGAGGCCCGCGAGCAGGCCCTGTGCGGCCCCGGCCTGCGCAAAACCAAGTACCGCAGCTTCCGCCGGCGGCTGCTCAAGTTCATCCCCGGACTCAACCGCTCCCTAGAGGAGGAGGAGAGCCAGCTGTAGGGACGAGGGCGGGCAGGGGAGGTATTTATTTATTTATTCATTCGTATCAGCCAGTACAAAGCGAGGGTGCCGGGCCAGGAGGACCCCAGGAGCCCAAAGCAGCGGGAGAGGGTCCTTGCGAGCCCTGGCAGGCTCGCTGAGGGAGTGGGGGGCCCAGACCCCTTCTCTCCTCCTCCCCTAAACCACAGTGAGAGCTGGGGCAGGGGGAGAACCAGGCAATCGGGATTGGGAGAGGTTTGGGGGCCAAAGATGGGTCGTGCTATCGTACAGTCTGGGTCAGTAGTGCCTTGTGGGGTGTCCAGGAACACTCCCCCACCGGGGAGTGGGGGACCCTGTCCCACGAAGCCCTCTCCTCAGCTTTACCTGCTCCCCTGGCCCTTAGCCCTGGGGAGAAATGGCCCATGGTGGGCCGTCCCCCACCCTCCACACACACACAGTTCCAGTGACCAGTGGGCCCCAGGGGGCATAAGGTGCTGGTCCCCTCCCTCCTAGCCTTGACCCCTAAGGGCTTGGCCCCTTCCAGGGGCCTGTAACTACGTGGGGTCCTGGGATAGGGGTCCTGGGTTCTGTGCACCTTGGGGACAGGAGCCAGCATATTCAGGTGGGGTGGGGGCAGCACAGACTGTTCCACCGTTTTGCATATTGTTGCTTCTGAACCACAAAGTATATAAAATTGATGGTTTTTTGCATCTGTGTCAGCGTGGTGACTGCTTGAGGGGGAGGATTGGGCTCGGGCAAGCTCTGACTCTGCCGTGCAGCCCCCTCCAAACACACACATGCACACGCACTATGTTTTACATCTTATTTTCTTGCAGCCTGAAGCCAGGGAAATAGTCTGGGAGATTTTAATGTACATGTATGGGCCTGAACTAGAGGCGCCACACCCTCATCAGACCTTGGGCCTCTTGTTTAAATACATCTTGAGCCTCCCTCCCCAAATACCCACAACAGGTGGTGGCCAAGGCTTGTCTAAAGTCCTTAACTATCCCTGTGGAAATAAACATGCTTGACACCCCTCTGTTCCCATTCTGAGGTCTCCCTTGAGGGGCAGAAGCCAGATCTGCAAGGCACCTTAGCCATCATCCCCCCAGCCTGTGACAGGCCCCCATCACTGCTCACTCCACTGTTCTAGAACTCAACAGATTCCAGTACTCTTAGAATGAGATCCAACTCCTGTGCTGTGGTGTCTGACCCCTGCCAGCCTCCCCTGACTCCCTGCTCTGGCTGCAGCAGCTGCCGTACCTGGTGCACTTCAGACCCCCTTCCATCGGGGTCTCTGCAGTGCTCTTCCCTCCTGGGGCTCCTTCAGTCCTCAGCTCTGCCCCCCAAAGGCCTTCCCAGCCAGTTGAAAAGACAGTCATACCCTCCTCTGTGACAGATCCCTGTTTTATTTCCATCATAGCATACATCACCATCCGAAATTGTCTTCACTTTTATGGGTTTTGATTTTTGCCTGCCCTCCCCACCCATCGGGATGTATGATCCTTGCTGTAAGACTCGGGGACCTTTTCTGTCTGAGTCACTGCTTGCTTCTTGCCTGCCACTATCACGTAGTAGAGCCTCTATACAGTGTGTGCTAAAGCATCTCCAGGAGGTGTTCACCACCTTCTTTGAGGTGACCTAAGGCAAGTGACCTGTCTGCGGTCATACAGCAAGCTAGTGGCACAGGTGGCCTTGGGTTTGAGACTCCTGCTCCAGTGCTCTTCCCGGGCAGTAACCAGCATACACTGGGTGGCTTTAAGAGAGGTCTACCTGTACCTTTCCACTCTCTTCCCTCCTGCACCACTGTACTTGCCTCCTGAGTGGGTTCCCTGTTTCCTCTCTTGCCCCTGGCCCATCCCTTTTCTATACAGCAGTCAGGGCAGAGTTTTCAAAAAGGAAGATGGATCACAACCCTCCTCTGCTTAAAACTCTTTATGGCTTCCCCTGGAATAAAAGAATAAAGTCCAAACCTTTACTGTGGCCTGTCCATAACACATTGTCCCTCTGGGCAGACAAATTACAAAAGGGCATCCCTTTCTCTGGGTTAACAGCAGCCACAGAGGCCCAACAATTTGGCAGCTGGGAGCCTTTGTGCAGTGCCCAACTTCTGCAATTATATTGGAATGCCCTGCATGAGACCCTCCAGGAGCTGGTCCCTGTCTCTGTCTTCAATCTCAAGTTGTTTCTCCTTCCATGTCACTTATTATATCTAAGCCATACTGTTCTTTCTGTTCCTAATATGCCAAACCCTCTTCTGCTTCTGGCCTTTGCTCATCCTGTTCTCTCTGCCTGGAATACTCTCCTTTGCAAGACTGATTCCTCCATCCTCACATCTCAGCTTAAACATCACCTCCGCAGAGAGGTTCCCCTGATCTGATCTGGAGTAGTTCCCTGTCCCCATTATGCTTTACCTGGAGTCCCCGATTTTTTTTCTTTATGGCACTTTCTCCCAATTGGTAATTATACTGACAACTTTTGTATCTGTCTCTTGCCTTTGTGAGGGCAGGAACCCCAGCCTTGTTTAAAGTGGCACCTCAGGGCCTAACACGGAGCCTGGCACGCAGGAGGGGTTCAAGAAACACATGCCGAATGAGTGATGCCTCCCTGGGGCCACCCTGCATAGCAGTAACCATCACCTCCCACCTCGGCCCCTCCTCTGCTCCATCTGTAGCTGGCAGCTGTGGGCCCTTCTCCCAAAATCCCCTTGGGGCTGGGTGGTGGCTCCAGCCAGGGCACCTACAACTGGCTGCCCTGCCCTCCCCAGTCCTGGGAAGAGAGGACATTTGATTAAGAAAATGGAGCTTCCCCAGCTCCCTGTTTGAACAGCTGCTATGCAGCCATGACAAACATCAGCTCCCAGGGGCTCAGGTCTAGGGGAGGGGCCCTCTCACACCTTTGTTCCCAGAGCCCAGAGCTGCCGGGAGACCAACTGTCTGGGCACAGCCTAGCACCTTACTGGGCGGGGGTGGGGGTGGGAGCTGCAGGGAGATTTTTCCTCCCAGAGTAGATTTCCAACCCCTCTCCCACCAGTCTGTCCCCACTCCCTGCCATGCAGCTAGTCTGTTCCCTCCCTCCGGCTGATGGGGGCTCCTGGCCGGTGGCCGTGCGCACCCAGGGGAGGGTGAGGGGTGCCCAGGGCGGGTCTGGATCCCACCTCTCAGCTGATGAGATGACGGCACCAGCACAGCAGCCTCCTGCCGTGTAGGTGGGTGACAGGGAGTGACTAATGTGCGAGCTGCGATGCTAAAAATTAACCCAGGGATCGTGTTTGGCGGAGGGGGTGGGGGTGGATGGGAAAAGGAGCAGGGACTCAGAATACTGTGTGGTCGGTATTCCCCCTGCCCTGCCTCCCCTCTTTCGCCTCCCACCAGCCTTCTGCTCCTCTCAAAGCCTCAGGGGACTCTGAGGGAGCCCTTCCCCCCCCAGGACAGAAGGGGCCCCCAACAATTCCAGGTGAGGAGAGTAGACCCCACTCCAGGTCTCGTGCATGGTGGTGTGAGGACACGGTCCTGCAAATGGGGTTCTGGTCTGAGGTCCCCACAGACCAGAAGAAGGAGGAAGAGGTGTGAGGGTAGGGTCAAAGAGATGGAGAGGAATCAGTTGGGCCTGCAAGGCTGTAGGGCTCACTATGGGAGAAGAGGCGGGGGCCTGGCAGGTATCTGAAGGCAGGATCTGAAAGGGCAGCGTCTGAGATGTGCCAGAGAGCAAAGGGAGGAGGGCATGGTCCAGAGGGATCAAAGTCCCACGCATGTGGGTGCTGTCCTGGAGTGGGGCGAGAACATCCATCAGAGTCAGAGAGAGGGGAAGGCTCTTGGGACTTGGTTCTGGGCCACAGAAGGGGCGGGGGCTTAGAGAAGAGCTTCACGGGCACATGTGAGAAAACCTGTTAGAAGGAGTGAAGCCACGAGCGCTTCCATTTCCCCTGGAGACCACAGCAGAGAACTGGAGCTGAACGCAACAGGAGAAGGTGAGACGGCAGGAGCCACTGTCTGCCCACCAGCCAGACGCTCACACAGCTGGGGAAGTGAGGGAGACTGTGGGATTCCCCCGGTCAGGAGAGACGTCAGGTCGCTTGGTTGGGATGTTTTCTGGTCCTGCATTGACGGGTGGATGAAATGACCTTAAGGAGGGGGGTGATGGGCTCGGAGAAGTACGAGAGAAAGGAACCCGGGGTTGTAGAGAGGGAGGAGGGACCACGGAGGGCTCCTCCGTAGAGTAAATCAGCCCAGTGACGAGACATTGCGGAGTAGAGCAGTGCGCTGACCCCTGGTGGTGGCCGCGAGCGCTGCACCTCTCTGGGCCTTGCCCACGCCAGGTGGGGAGAGGGTAGGAGTAGGGTTCTCCCACCAGCCGATGCTGTGAACATCCTCCCCTCTCTCCTTCCTCAGCCCTGCTCCACGCTCTTACCAAGTGGAGCCTCCTCTGAACGCCACAGCTCCTTGTCTTAAGTGCTCTGACACCCTCCCATCCCATCTGCTCCCCATTGCCTCTGTTCAGCCCCGAACTGTGGGCTCCCAAGGGCGTGAGCACCAACCCATTCGCCTCTATGTCCTGAATTGTGCCTGGCACCGAGTGGGCATTCAGGTAGCACTGAGTGAAGGCCGGTATGTGGGAAGGAATAAACAAACAGAGTTCAGAACATTGAACTTAATTGATTTCAACCAACATAACTTCTCTGCGCAGAACTCTGCGTCATGGACTGGGGTGGGGAGGGGAAGGAAGCACACTTGCTAAACTGCAAGACACAGGAATGAATTTGTTTATCTATTTTATTTATGTATTTATTTATTTTATTTATTTAGAGATAGGATCTCACATGGTGTCAATATGGTGACCTCCCAGGAGGTGGGACCACCAGGTTGCCTAACACACAAGAAATTTTGCTGTAAGGGAGACCTCCTAAACCTCAGTGAATCTTCCCTTCCTGGAGTTTGGCCTTTCGGTAGAGAACGCACAAATTTATGCAAAAGGTAAAAATCATGCAAATACTGCCTCTGGGTCTCTTTCCTCACTGCTCCCCTACAGAGTCACTTAACAGCTTTCCTCACATCTGGTGTGGTCTATTCAGCAACCCCCCAGAGTGACAGTCCACCCAGGCCCCGGGACACGTAGCACCTTCTTTCGGAGCCCTCCAAATCTCTCTCGACTGCCCGGCTCTAGCCGCTCTCTCTGAGGAACGTGGTATCTGGTTGAACGCAGGCAAGAGCAGCGTTACCAACTACAGCAGCGAATCGCTCGGGCGACGTGTAACAGTGGATAGGGACCTACCCCTACCTACCCTTATGATTCCGATCCAGGAGTTCTTGGGTGGGCTGGGGCACGGGTATTTTTAAAAGCACCGCAGTTGCTCCATTAAGGATTCATTGAAAGGATGTTGAATGAAGATGATTCTAGATGAATCCACACAAAACCTTGGAACTCAAAATACTGACAGAATTGGGCCCCCCTGGGGTTATTTCTCCTGGGGGAGCGGAGGGCCCGTGCCTCCCGCTGGTCCAGAACCACCTTCTGCTTCGTGGTATAAGCTTCGGTATGGATAGTGGCCATCTTCCAGACCAGGAGCTCTGGAAGGACAGGGATCCCATCAGACGGACGCATCTGTGTCCCCACCGCGGTTGGACTGGGGGCCGGGACCCAACGCGGAGTCCAGGACCTGCGCTGGCCTGGTGTAGCCAGTGCTGGGGCTGAGGGGCGGGCAGAGGAGGCG